AAGTGATAATTAGTCCTCTAAAATATGATTGTCTTGGGTATTTCTTTCTTTTGTTAATAATAGACACATAAAATTAGAAAGACTCATTATGTCACAAGTAATAAGTTCATTTCCTGAACTAGGTGTATTTGTTACATCACATTTTAAACTGTCAAATTTTATTGTAGCCCATGACATTATACATTTGGGGCCCTGTATCTAGGCCTTGTGACACTGAAGTTTAGTGTGTATCTAAACACAAGAGGACACGTGCTGACTTGAGTAGATGGTGAGCCAAGGCAGGGAGGGGTCAACCGTGGAAGGCCTTAAGTTTGTTCCCTTCCAGAAAATAACAATTTATTTCTAGTTGAAGCTGTTATTTGAGGGTTGTAGAGACGGCACAGCAGTTAAGAGCATTGACTACTCTTGCAGAGGACCCAGGTTCAATTCTTAGCAACCACATGGAAGCTAATAACTATTCATATCTACAGTTCCACAGGAATTCAATGCCCTCTCCTGAACTCCGAATTTATTGCACAACACGCGTGCTCTTACATACATGCAGGCAAAACAGTCATATGCATAAAATAAAAATAAAAATATATTGAAAGAATAGGTATTTGATTAATATCGAAGAGAAATTTAGGGATCCAAATGAGTAGAGTGAAGTTTACTATAGTCCCATCTCACACAGATCCAGGGCTTGTTTGAACTCTTCCACACCCAGTGAATGGGAGAAAGATGGGTGTGTCTGTCCAGCAAGTAGACAGTTAACTGTCAATTCCAGAAGACTCTGCAGTCCCCAGCTCTTCACCTCTTCACCTCAAAGCTCTGGGCAGAGTCTCATAGTACCGTGAGACTGCACTGATAGGCATGCGGTTGAGTGCAGAGCTGAGGCCACTTCAGCTTCTCCTCCTTCACCCCCTTCTGGCTGCTTTAAATACTACTTGCCTTACTTAAATTCATTTCATGATGTAAAACTCATTGCACTTTGGAAAATGTCTTTTGACACTATACTTTTCTCAACTTGAGCATGCTACTCATTCTTGGCAAGATCCAAATCTTTTACCTCTAGGGATTATTGAGGTGAAGAGATCTATTCAAGAAAAAAAAAAACTACTTCATAAATTACTTCATTTGAGTTTGTTCCAAATAGCCTAACAAGCTTACATATTAGCAAAGATGATGCAAAAATACAATAGACTGCAAAGCAAATATAAATGAAAGAAATATTGTCCTTATTCTGTGACCTGAGACTTCTCTGAGAACTCAAATCTGGTTAAGCAGGAATATGTCTCCATTCGGTGTTCAGTCATTGAGGCACCATGGTTTTTGTTGTATTCATTACTGCTTATGAGTTTGTGCTTCCAGAATATTGAAGCCTTCCACACATCTAGGGACTTTTTTTTAAATTAGAGAGAATGGAGCTTTAGTAAAATTCCAGGTGAATTACTTAAAATCTGAAGATTCAGCTTATAGGAAACTATCATCAGTGTGTTCAAGAATTTAAATTATCACCTTTGCCTGTTTAGGTATCTGGCTTTTGAGTCAAGATAATTTTGATGGCTTCATTACAATGGAAAGAAATGAGGAAATTTTATATAATTAATTTCCGTGTTGCTTAATACTTTAGTCATTTGTGTCAGCAAATAAAATTGCTGAACTAATTAAAATATACTTATCAAACTGACTTTCTACAAACATCTTTGGTTTTATATGAATACATTCACCAGAGCATGAGAAGATGCAGCTCCCATTTAAGTAAGTTTTGACATTACAGTTAAGTGTCTTTTATATTTTAGGTTTGTACTTGGAAACTTCAAGAATTGTCTGAAAGAGAGAGACTATTGGAATTCATGTGGAAATGTATTTCTGGAGCCACTTGATACTATTTCATGGTTTACTGAATAGCCATGTCATCATGATTTCTTGAGGGCATAGCAGTTTATGCAGTACTCACAATAAACACATTAAAAGAACCTTTGATTAGAGCAAGAATCTGACCATAAGACTATACGCTATATGAACATATATATATATATGTATATAATGTTTATCCCTGAAAATAGGTTTGCATGTGTAGATATGTAGATAGAAAAACCCACAGAAAATTTGAAATTTGTCTACAGTCACTTAGATTTATTAATTTTTTATTGTATAGCACTACATAGAGTACACTTTTTTATTTCAGTATACCTGGTTATATAAGGCCATTTTCACATAAGTGTATAATGTACTCTGAGCACATTTCCCCCATACCCTGATATAACTTTCACACCTCTCCCTTCATATGTCTTCTTTGTTACCCTGCACACTTGACTTCTACTTTCATGGACAATGTACATATCTGATCTTATGTATCTATACAAAGTCTAAAGTCAACAAATGAAAGGAAAATAAATGATAATTGCTTTTATGAGACTGAGTTAATTTGCTTCAAGGGATTATTTCCAGGATTATCCATTTTGTTGCAAATGATATAACTTCATTCTACTTTATAGCTAAAAGCCATTCTGTTGTTAAACAGGATATTTTAACAAATTCAGTCTTAAGCAGCCATGATATTAATTATTGTATTAAACTATTAATTTTCTAGAGAAGTGTTAGTAAGTAGTCTAAATTGAATTTAGTCATGTTCTTCAGTTTCTATAGAATCAGTTCTTTGGCAATTTACAGTATAGTTTACATAAGTTTAACTATGGTATAGTACTGTTTTTACTCTATTTTGTAAATACCCTGAGCATTTGAAAATTTATTTTGGGAAAACCCACCATTGATAAATAATGAATGGTGCCAAAACATTTAGAAAATGAGACAGAAATGGTTGTAAAATTGAATGAGACAGGCTAGGATGTAAATTATGTTATATCTCAGTGTTCTATAGTAGGTGTGCCTTTAACAGTCTAAATCTTCAAAAATGCCCATGGATCTGCTGAATTGGGTGGCAGTATTAAGGTCAATAGACACATTGAAAGTGTATCACAACTTCTTTTAAAGAAAGATCAGTCTGCACATGTCCTCCTTCACCACCAAGTCTACAAATACCCAAGTGTATTGTTTGCTTGCTTCTAGTCAAAATGTACTCTTTGTGGGTAAATGTGGGCAATACTTACATTTAATGGAATTGGTAATTCCTAAGATACATAATTTTAACCCATGTCTAAGATGTGGTTCATGGAGTCAATGTATGCTACTTTTTATAGGCTGGAGCATGTCTGCAATTCTTGTAAAGTTGACAGAGATCTTCATGGTCTTTTTCTGAGCTAGTATTCACAGGGAACCACTCAGATCATTCATCACAGTGCTCATCCATTTTGCCACAGATGCTGAGGAGTGCTTAAAGCCTTTGTCGTGAAAATAAGAAAACTAAACAAAATACTATAGCAAATATATGATATGGACGTCTTTGTGGTAACATCGATAAAACAAAGGCAAAGAGAGACTTAACAAGTTGTTCAAGGTCACAATGGTAGCATGTGAATGGACATTACACTGCACACAAGTATGTGGCTCCAGAGATGACAGAATTCTTCACTGTGCTACTCTCTCTGTCTCTAAAATATTTCTTGGATTCTATCTTGGTACATAAGAAACAATAAAATTAAAGTCATTACTTGGTCACAGTAGGTACCACATCTCATATTTTCCTGATTAGTATTTTTCAGAAATCAGTAATAAGTTTGGAAATAATATAAAAATATATAACGAAAGAAATAAATGGCAGATAAATAGAAAAAGACAGGTTTGATCTAATAGTGCGATTGACTGGAAAGGATTCTGAAATCACCTGGTTTAATCATTTTGTTTGTCTATGTATGATTTGAGACTTACTTTTAATTACATTTAGAAAATTATCCACACCCGTTTATTCTTTGAGTGTGTGCTGTGTTTTTGGTCATCTGGACACTGAATTTCTATGCGAGCACTCTCAGCAAGTAGGAAGTATTTTATACAAAACCATGATGTAATTGTTCACGATCACTTTCACTTTTTATTTTCTTCTGTCTCACTAGTTTATTATAAGAGTTCTAAAAAATACTGGTTGGTGGTGTAGAAATTGGTGAGAGACATTTTAGTTCATTTCAGGTTTAAAATGTTTATGAAACTCTTGTTAGTGTATGCAATTGTGCCAAGAATTGTTATAAGTAATTAGGAAATGACAGAATTACAGCTCTGAAAAAAATATGACAGAGTTAGCTAAAGAAATCATTACAAGCAGTAATTTAGAAGTTATTTAATACAACTTAAAACCTAGTTTTTTGAGAACAAATTAAGGATAAATAAGCAGCAAAATCTTTTTGCAATGGTTGGTGTCTAGGTCAAAACTGCAATTTAATAGAGTTGAGATGGATGAACCAGGACTGATATTATTGTGAGTGCTAAACATCATATTGTATTCTAAAATATTACCAGTTCAAATACCGTCTCTGTGTTAAGCGACAAGATTGGGATTTATTACCACCACAGCTTTGCAGAACCTTTTTTACTTTTTATTTTATCATGTGCATGCATGTGTGTGTGTGTGTGTGTATGTTTGTATGTATGAATGTATGTTCCATTGTGTGTATGTGCAAGTCAGAGGACAGTCCAGTTCTTTTTTTCCAGCATGTAGGTCCTGTGGCTCAAACCTAGGTCATCAGGGTTGGTGGCAGTGGCCTTTACCCTAAAAGGAGGAATTCTTATGTTTGTTTGCTGATGTGTGTGTGTGTGTGTGTGTGTGTGTGTGTGTGTGTACTTTGGTTAAATAGCAAGTTTTTTAAAAGTATGAAAGACTGAGACACTTTGTATGCTCTTCTATATAGAATTCCACTGAGGTCTTGAGATAGACCTAATACTACTATTATAGCCATCCATACACAACTTCTATGGAGATCCTTGCAAGAGGCACTCAATAGATGCCTACTGAATATAGAAGGTAATGATGATGTGCTTCATGACAGAATGGATTCAAGACTTGTTCAGGACTCATGGCAAGTACTGTTCTGTTGTCTTGTCTCTGAAAGAAGCCTTATAGAAGAGTAATGGGAAAGAGCAACAATGTCACAGAATTTGTCCTCTTGGGCCTCACTCAGGACTCTGTGGGGCAAAAAGCGTTATTTGTCATGTTTTCACTCACATACATCATGACGATGGTGGGAAACCTGCTAATTGTGGTGACAGTTTTTGCCAGCCCCTCCTTGGATTCTCCAGTGTACTTCTTCCTTGCCTACCTGTCACTCATGGATGCTGTTTATGCCACAGCCATCTCACCCAGGTTGCTTATAGACTTACTTTGTGAGAAAAAGACCATTTCCTTCACAGCTTGCTTGGCCCAGCTCTTTGTAGAGCATTTGTTTGGTGGTGCTGATGTTTTCCTTCTGGTGGCAATGGCCTACGATCGCTATGTGGCCATCTGTAAGCCTCTGCACTATTTGACCATCATGAGTCAGCGGGTTTGTATCTCCCTGTTGGTGGTGGCCTGGACTGGAGGGTTTGTACATGCCCTGTTTCAAGTTCTTATTGTACATAAACTTCCTTTCTGTGGCCCCAATGTTATTGATCACTTTGCCTGTGACATATACCCATTATTGGGACTTGCATGCGCTGACACCTACTTTCTTGGCCTTAGTGTAATTGGCAATAATGGAGCCATGTGTACGGTCATCTTTATCCTTCTACTAATCTCCTACGGGATCATTCTAAATTCTCTTAAAACACATAGTCAGAAAGGGAGACGCAAAGCCCTGTCCACCTGCAGCTCCCACATCATGGTGGTTGTCTGCTTTTTTGTTCCCTGTATTTTCATGTATGTTAGACCTGTTTCCAACTTTCCTGTTGATAAATTCATTACTGTGTTTTATACAATTTTTACTCCTTTGCTGAATCCTTTAATATATACCTTGAGAAATACAGAGATTAAAAATGCTATGGAAAAGTTCTGGTGTAAAATGTTAACTCTAGATAGAATAAGAGTTTCTCCTCACTGAATATGTTACTCAATTTAAAGCACAGGTTAGAAGTAAATAACAGTACTGTGTTTACCAAATTCAGCCTTCATATCAATACGATTTTGTGGGATGTTTGATACTTTGTGAACGTAGTGAATAAAAGATTGGTATTCATTGTGATTTTAATTTTCTTTATTACTATTTTAATTGAATATATGATTTGTCATTTTTTGGGATATCCTATTTTTATCATTTTTATGACATATGTATTTACATTTTTGTCAACTTTTCAATGTCTTTTAAAAATATAATAGATTGGTGGAGTTCTTGTTGAGTCCTCTGAGCTAATTCCATATTTTTATATGTACCACCAAGTCTTCTATTTATATTTTTGTTTACAGTTTTGTAATTTATTAAT